TTGAGGAAGTTTAACTTGGCTTTGATGGGGAAATGGTGGGGACGACTTGTAGAAAATGGAGAGAGAGCTTGTGGAAGAAAGTTATTGTTGAAAAATATGGTAAGGGAGGGGGACATTGGCTGGATCAGATCAAAGAAAACAGAGGATTAGGCTCAATATGGTGGAGGGATGTGTGTTGTTTCAATATAGTGGATGGGGAGAGTGTAAGATGATTGACGGAGGGATTTAGGATTAAAGTAGGGGAAGGTAATAGTGTTAGGTTTTGGTGGGATGATTGGTAGGGGGAGGTTTGTCTTGCTAATAAGTTTCCTAAATTGTATCTTTTATCAATAGGAAAGGAGAATACATGCAACCAAATGGGCAATAGGTGGAATGGATCATGGGAGTGGAATCTAGGATGGAGGAGAAATTTGTTTGATTGAGAAGCTGAAGAGGTCATGGAACTCCAAAACATGATAGAGGACGTGAAAATCTCACATGGATGCCTTGATAAGTGGGAATGGGCTCATGACAAAGAAGGCAACTACTCAACAAAAACAACTTATGCATTTTTAAATAAAGAGTAGAGGGGATCAAATGGAACTACAACCTTTAAAAGAATATGGAATCCCATCCTTCTAAGCAAAATAATAGCATTCAATTGGCAACTACTGTTAGATAGAATACCAACTAAGGTGAACTTGATGAGAAGAGGGATTATTAAAGATATGGAAGAAAGTAAGTGCGGCATATGTGGTCAAGAAGAAGAGGACTCTACACATTTGTTCTTAAATTGTAAGATTGCTCAATGGTCGTGGAAGGCCTATGCAAAATGGTGGGGGGCTAAGGTGACACTAAAGATGGATTGTTGGAATACTTTTGTGAAATTCAAGGAATGGAGTAAAGAGACATGCATTAGAGAAGGATGGGATTGCATATGGAACACAGTTGTATGGTCTGTGTGGCTTGCTCGAAATCAAAAGATCTTCCAAGATAAAGAGGCCAACTCGGGGAAGCTATTTGAACTTGTCCAGATAAGATCCTTCTTATGGATTAGAGCTAAAAAAGATAAGTATGTCTTTAATCCATCTGATTGGGTACTTAACCTTGTTGCATGTCTGAAAGATAACCATGTAGGAAGGGAGGGTAGCAAACAATTAGTCTAAAGGATAGGATTGATATTTGTATGGCATTTGCTTTGTATACAATTGGCTAAATAGTGTTAAATGGGTT